CCCGGGGCGACCAAAATTTTGATCTGAATCAATGTAAATCGTTTTGATGCATATATCCAATACAAATGATGCTGATTCACCTTATCGAAATCGATTTGTTTTGTCGATGTAGATTGTCGTTTTGTGATTCATGAATTGATACTGATCGAAATCAAGGTAATATGTAAAAAAAAATTAGAAAAAAATTTTGCAAAAACACAATTTAAAAATGAAAAGAGTCAAGACAAAAGTAAAAAATATTTATTCATATTTTTTGCAATTTTAATATTTATAAAATGTTTAAAAACTTAAACGACAATTTAGTAGAGATTAAAGATGATTTTTATTATAATATTTTTTGAATGTTGAGGAATGCAATTTATTGAAAGTAATTATTATCGCGTGCGCACGTTTATCCGATTGTACTTTTCATCTTTTAATTTACATTTAACTCGCGTGAATACGAGACGTTACGATCGACGCTTAATTGCCGTTAATAGTTCCGCTACGATGACATTGCACAGATATTCGCCATCCCCGCACATCCGTCGAAATGAAAAGATTTGTCGTTGCTGATATATTTCCACCGCAATACATCTTCTATCTATTCTTTACAAATGCTATAATTAGAATGATAACTGTGGCCTTTAATGAGCATTGAAAAATAAAAGATAATAAACATTATACCATTTTTTTCTAGCATATCTTTCAAATAAATAATTAAATCATCAAATTTATCCATTCAATATTTTTGGAAAATGGAAAATACATGCTAAAATAGGTGTATATTGATTCAGAATTATTGCTGAGCAAGCATACATGACACACATAACACATCTTAGCAGTAACTTTTCGAATAAAGAGAATTATAATAGAGTCAATAGCAGAAATCTAGTTATATGAAAAAGATTTTGATTTAATGATATTTTATGTATGTAAAAATCCTAGAAAACAATATGATAGGATCAGAGAGATTATAAATAAATTTATAAAGAAACAGTTTACATCACATTCTTTTTATTTTATATGCAAATTTTTACATTTTTATATTAGTTCCATGAAATGATATCGATTATTTATGCAACAGCAATTATATTTTTTACATATTTGTTTTTATTAGTATTTATTAATATTTATACAGAACACATTTTAATAATAACATTTAATTATCTAAAATGTTTTATTATCACTTATATATATAGAAATTATCAAAATTTAATAAACTGAATAATTTTAGATATTTGTATATATAAGAAAAAAATCACTTTAAATCGTTTAAATTATTTAATACTTTCAAATTGTCTTAGTACTTTTGCACATCATACTTTTCATCAAATATAAAAATGTTAAATTGTCGTTAAATTATTTACGAGTCTAGCTGAACTAGCATTCGGTCAATATTTCCATTGGGAAGATATGGCATTTTGTTTCTAAAGAATATACCCCCTTGCAATTTATAAGAGCTGGGCAGGTCTTTTATCACATATTGGTTTAGTTCCTCTTCGGTTACCTAAGATAGAAACATGAACTCTTTAGAAATACTTTCACTCAATCTTAAAAAAAAAAAAAGAACAATCAGTTTTAAACCTTTATTCCAATTTTTTTCTTAATATAAGCCACTGGATGCTGAATGTCAGTAGGATGTGACACACCTCGCACAACAACCTCGGACACAGCCGGATGTTTTAGTAATACGCATTCGATTTGTGCAGCTGAGATCAAATATGTTTTATATTTAATAATATTTTTTATTTTATCTACAACGAAGAGTAGATTATTTGTCGTTTCATAAAACCCGTAATTTCCGGTACAATGCCATGTGGAAGTGACTGAAAATATTATTTTATTTTTTTAACACTTTATGTAACGTTTGGATTATGTAAGTCTAGAGATACACAATCAATTATATATTAAGAAAAGTTGTTATACTAACTGGGAGCGCAGTATTTCATGTCGATACTTCGTTTTGCTCGATAATTCTCACAACTTGGTATCTCACATGTCTTATGAGTGCACCATAAACACTCCAGTTTGTACCAGATTTCGCCTAGCTTCTTTGGGTTTACAGCACCCTGCGTTTTCATATCAAGAATCATCAATTGAATATTTTTAGCTAAATAACTTCTACATCCCGTTTTATAATTCCTCCGATAATAATTAATAATTATATGTGTAGTTGATACACCTAAAAAAAATCCAATAATCATCAATTGAAGGTATATGTTGCTAATGTTGTAATGCATTAAAAATATACACACTGTATACTCGAACAAAAGAAACATGTGAAAGTTGCTTGATGAAGTTTTCGTCAATATCACTGTGTGTTACTGTAGTATCGAATATAAGCTCTTTCAAGGAAGAAAGATCGTATTTCGCAAGAGAATCGACTCGAAGCAATTGATTGCCTGCTTTATTTGTAAGAAACACCCATGTTACCTAAATCCGATATAAATATCTCATATTTCACTGATTAATTCAACAAAAATTGGATGTTTTATATATTTACCTTATACTTGTCTATTGTTTTATATAAATTTTCCTCGCTAAATTCTGAAGACTTGATCACTGTTACGAATGAAATTATACTACGAACAATCAAAAGCAGACTGTAAGTCCAACATAAAGGCTCATACCATAGGCCAACGTCACCGAAAGACATAACAGGTATACACTGATTTGATGGAAATGTAAAAGCAAAGTAACGAAGAGACGATGTACCAGGATAACTTGTTGCGCCAGAAGAAAACATTGTTCCTACGACATCTATTGTGTTTCTCACTTTGCAGGAAAATTTCATGATTTTGCTCTTATCAATGTCGATATTTAAAATTGATTCAAGCGAAATGACATTGTCAATTTTTCCAAAAGTTATGATTTTCGGAGAACATATTTTATCATTTATATTTAAGCAATCGAGAGCTTGTTGAAGTTTTTCGTAATTGTTATCGTCGATAAAGATTACATCTGGATCAAATTCCGATAAAAAATACATAACTCGTACAAAATCTAAAAGTATTTGTTGTAATGAATGTACAGAAGGCAATATAGGTATATATGAATATATGAAAATAAATCACATGAAATTTTAGAGAAAGATTAATATACTTTGGAAATATCTTGCATCCCACGGATTGACAATGGACCCGATAAAAAGACTAGCTAGAAATGGCACATAGGCGTCCATTTGGTTACAAGTACATATTGTTATTTTGTCTTGATATCCAATTCCTTCATTTTGTAACCATAACGCACACTTTACGCTGTTTTCTCTCATCTGTTGGAATGTAATTTTCTCTCCTGTTTTCGCATCCACCTACAAGACATATTATCACATTATTATTAAAGAACATAATAAGAACGCTGTTTACAGAGTATTATATTTTTTGTTATTTATTAATGAATGCTTTCTTTGTATAAGTAAGGAATTTTATTCTTAGGAAATTACCTGGCCGATAAAGTCCGGTTCAGATTTAAATGCGTGCAAAATCATATTTCCAACATTGTGAAGATGAACGGTTTCTGTTTCACCAGAGAGTACATTATTTTTACTATTGTACAGAAGTTTTGTCTAAAAGATGCACGATACATTAATAATAACGCTTTTCTATTTTTATATATGACAAAATTCTATTGTATAAAATGTTACCTTAAATGCCATATCCGTGCCAGTAATTTATTTAAATTATATAATATTAATAATGTTTTTATATAAAGAAATAATAATTTTCTATTTCGCAGCAAATATCACAAGAGTTTTAATTCCTATTAGTATAATATTTATCGATATGTTATTGATGCGAAACGTTGTTATGACTAAAAGTTAAACGAATTTATTGTGCTTAGAGACGTCCTTACTGCTAATCTAAGCTGCTTGATGTTATAAGGCAATGTTTTCACTGCTATTTCGCATTTTGCTTGTATTCTGAGTTTTGAACTAACTGTTTTTCTAAATTCTGTGTCTCTATTCCATTAAAAAATTCAACAATGCCTTGCCTTTTATAACTTCAAAATTTCTATTTTGCTGAAAATTAAACATTTTAATTTATTTAAACAATATGGAGCGTTAAATAATTTATAAAGGAATCTTTATAAATGTAAAAGATATATGATTTTATATTCCCGAGAATTATTAACTCAAATTATTGTAAATATGTGTGTGTGTGTGTGCGTGTTTATCTTACATCTATTTATTATTTATTGACAAAAATTATTTAAAATAACTATCTTTAATTTTTATAAAAATTTTACTGTGTAAAATCAAAATAAATAAGTATTAAGAAAATAATTAATTAGCTAATATTTTATATTGTCTAATATATTATCCAATATTTTACATGAAATAAGAAAATATGAAATATGAAATATTTTAGGAAAAATACTTTTATAATTAATTGCTTTTATACTTTTATATAAAAATAAAATAGTGCACTATGATATGTTACAATTTTTATCATATATCATTCATATTTTATAAAATAACTAAAATTTATATTTTTTTACATAAATTAATTATTATATTTGAATCATTTTACAATTATCGTTGATTATTTCTTTTGTTTTTTCTGTACTTTTTCTGTTATCGTAGAATTTTTTCACTATATTTGATATAAAAAATAATATATCAGTTAAAAATAACATATATGTAAAAAAATAACATATATATCAGTTTCGAAAAGCGAATTGTTTATTTGCATAACAGTTGTGAGAAAACTTATGTCATATCAATTTTATTTTACATTATTATACGACTTATAATTTTCTAATAGGCACGATATTCATTAATTGTATATCTTCATATAATATTTGATATTTATTTCGGTTAATTATTTTATTTTACATATATCATTCCTTCAATTCAAAAAGAGAGGAAAAATTTATGATTTCTTTTTATTAGCTGAAATTAATATCGCAATTTGGAAGTAAAAATGATTCTAATTAAAAGTATTATGTTATTAAAAGTTTTAATTATTCGATTTCAG